TGCCTTTTAGCTCGAGTGTCTGTAGTTCTGGGTTTCACCTGCCTTGTGAGAGCAGGGCCTGCCTGTCCTTCCTCACCATTCCCATGGACCCGGCGTGCTGGGATTTGGGATCAGGGCTGGCTCCCCAGTTCCCCCCCAGCAGCCCCAGCCCCTTTCCCCTCCCTGCGGCCTCTCCATCCCTCCCTGTGCACGTTCCCCCTTCCCAAAGCCCCTTCAGCCTCTCGGTGTCGGCTTTTCAGAAGGGAAATCCATGTGGAATGAAGGGGGAAATGTGAGGAACGGTGGGAGGTGATGGTGACCGGGTCACAGGGAGCTGCTGCTCTGTCCGTGCCATCGCGGGTGGCACTTGGGGACACAGTGGGACTGGCAGGGCAGAGATGGGCTCAGAGTCATTGTCCTGGGGCAGAGATGGGCTCAGGGCCATTGTCCTGGGGCAGAGATGGGCTCAGGGTCACTCTCCCATGGCAGAGATAGGCTCAGGGCCATTGTCCCATGGCAGAGATGGGCTCAGGGTCATTGTCCCATGGCAGAGATGGGCTCAGGGTCATTGTCCTGGGGCAGAGATGGGCTCAGGGTCATTGTCCCGGGGCAGAGATGGGCTCAGGGTCATTGTCCCGGGGCAGAGATGGGCTCAGGGTCATTGTCCTGGGGCAGAGATGGGCTCAGGGTCATTGTCCTGGGGCAGAGATGGGCTCAGGCTGCTCTCCCAGGGCAGAGATGGGCTCAGGGTCACTCTCCCAGGACAGAGATGGGCTCAGGGTCACTCTCCCAGGACAGAGAAAGGCACTGCCTGGATTCCTCCCATCCCTTCAAGGAGAGGCAGCTCCACCTTGAGAAATCATGGATTGACCCCTGCTGGGCAGGAGCAGCCTGGTGGGAGCCCTGCTCCAGGAATGGGATTCACAAAGATGCGGATGGGATGGAGAGAAAGGGAACTGTTTTTGTTTTTATAATGGAATCATGGAACGGTTTGGGTTGGGAGGGACCTTAAAGCCCATCCAGTGCCACCCCTGCCATGGCAGGGACACCTCCCAATGTCCCAGGCTGCTCCAAGTCCTGTCCAGCCTGGCCTGGGACACTTCCAGGAATCCAGGGGCAGCCACAGCTTCTCTGGGCACCCTCCCCACCCTCATTATAAATTTGTTATATATTCCTTCTTTCCACGTGTGGTCCTGCAGAGTTTGTGACACATCCCCTGTCCCTGGCAGGGTGGTGACAGCAGCATCCCTGCGTGTGTGGGATCCTGCCTGGGGCACACAGGGAAGTGGGGAATCTGTCTGGGGCTGATCTGGGAGGATCCACAGGGAGGGGGCGGATCCAGGCTCTTCCTTGGGGAGGGGCTGGGGACAGTCAGGGCTGGACTATCTGGAGCAGAACGGCTTTTTTGCTTTTTAGTTCTTTGCCAGAAAGGTGATTTTTATTCCCTGGTATCCCTGGATCTTTACACTCCTTCCTTTCCAGAAGTGAAACCCAAACAGAGTTGCCTGGCGTCTCCATATGAGCCCTGTGCCCTCCTACCTGTCTGTGCTTTTCCAACTGTTGCTTTTCTTTTCCTTCAGGGTTTGTCCCTTTTATTCTTGATCCTTTCCTTTTATTTTTGATCCTTTCCTTTTATTTTTGATCCTTCCCTTTTATTTTTGGTCCTTCCCTTTTTCTCCCTGGGAATGAGAAATGTGAGCAAGCAGGAATTTCCTCTCAAAAATAGTTTTGATGCAAAATTGACCCATTCATGGAAAAAAAAAAGGCATTTTCTCATTGAAAAGTATCCATGTCTGTTAAAAACTGGAATATTCACCTTGTTTCAGTGCAGGGGACTCTGTCTGGGGACAGTGGCCCAGCTGGGGGTGTTCCAGGCCTTAGGACTGGGGACTGATCCCTCAATCCTGGGGGTGCTGGGGCTGATGAAGCTCCTGGAAGGGCTCAGATTTTGGGATTGGGATTGAATCCTGGAGCTGGGATTTCCTGGGAGCATGGCTGGTGGTGGATCTTGGGGTTGGGGATCAAATCCTGGGCTGTGGGATCTTGCTGAGCTCCGTGTGGGAGCGTGGCTGGTGCTGGAGCCGCCGGTCACCTGCTCAGGGTTGGGACTGGGGTTAAATCCTGGGGTGCTGGGGATTCCTGAGCACTCTGTTGGAGCATGAAATTTGGGGTTGGGATTGGGATCAGATCCTGGAGTGCCAGAGCTTCCTGAGCTCCGTGTGGGATCACAGCTGGTGACAGAGCCTGGGCTTGGGGATCAAATTCTGGGGTTCTGGAGCTCCTAAAGCACCTTGTGGGACCGTGGCTGGTGACAGAGCTCCTGCCTGGGGTTGGGACTGGGACCGTGGTCTGGTGACAGAGCTCCTGCCTGGGGTTGGGACTGGGACTGAATCCCGGCTTTGGGATCTTCCTGAGATCCCTATCAGAGCATGGCTGCTGACAGAGTTTGGGGTTGAGATTTGAATCCTGGGGTTCTGGAGCTCCTAAAGCACCTTGTGGGACCGTGTCTGGTGACAGAGCTCCTGCCTGGGGTTGGGATTGGGACTGAATCCCGGCTTTGGGATCTCCCCATCAGATCACACCTGCTGCCAGACCCCCAGCCTTGAATTGGGCATTAAACCCCGGGGTGCTGCAGCTTCCCCAGCTCCCTGCCGGGTCTCGGGGCCCCTCTCTCCCCCTTTTATTCGCGGGTGTCCCGGTGGAAGCGCTGCCGGGAGCCTGATTGGCTCCACACCCTGCTCCGCTTCCAGCTCGGCGTTTCCTCCTCCCGCGGCCAGGTAAAGCCTTCCCTCGGCCAGGTAAACCCTTCCCCACCCTCCACCGGCCTCCCACCAGCGCACCTCGCTCCTGCTCGCCTCGGGTTTTTTTTTTTTCTTCCTTTCCCCTTCCTTTTCCCCCCACTTTTGCCCCTTTTTCCCCGTTTTCCGGGCCGGTCCCCGCTCGGGGGGATGAGCAGCGGGCTGGTGGACGCCGCGGTGTTGGCACCGCTCAAACCCGTCAGCATGTCCGGGGACCCCCAGGAGGACACCCCGGTCTTCGAGGACATCAAAGCCCCCTCCCGGCCCCTGGAGAACCCTCCCGACCTGGCGCAGGTAAGGAGCCTCTTCCGCCCGCTCAGGTGCCCGAAAACCTCCGGATTTGGCCTCAATTCTGCTTTGTTTTCCCCGTCCTTGCTGCGACACCTCCGTGGCTTTATCGGCTCCCGATTCCCCCTCGGCCGGGTTTTCTCCTGGGCGTGTTGGGTTTCGTTTGGGAATTTCGGTTTGGGTTTTTTTTTTGGTTTGTTTTTTTTTTTTTAACATCCTGTCTGCCGTCACAAACTCCCTGTGGGCTTTGCTCCCACTCCGGGGTTCAATCCGTCCCCCCTGGAATTGCCAGGCCAGGGGCTCTCCCACCGGGCAAGGTTTTTGGGATTTGGATTGCTGCGCCTGCGTGTCCTGCTGGGGAAACAGAACCTTATTTGCCATTTTATTTTATTCTCTGCGTTTTTCCGCCACCACTGTGGGGAAGGAATGCGCCTTGAGATTCCCTGGCAGCATTCCCCCCCCCCTGGATAAAGACCTGGATAAGGCTTTGGGATGTTCCAGCCAGGGGGACGAGGCTCCAGCAGAGCTTCCAGCCGCTCTTGCTGCTGGGAAGGAGGGTGAGGCAGGCCCGGCCCCACCCTGGAGCTGTGCTTTCCCCCTTTTCCTGCTCCGTGGGGCGCGGGGTGCCCGGGATAATGATTAATCCTGATCCCCACAGCCCCAGCGCCATTTTGATCCGGGCGGGAACGCTCCGGGCCCGGCTCCAGGGACACGCTGGGACCCCCACCCCGGCCAGTGCTCCTGTGGAGACCCCCAGGAGGGAATCCTGGGCCTGTGTGACTCCTTCCCTTGTCCCCACAGTGCCCGTGTTCCAAGGGCCGTCCTGGGTCTGTGTGAGTGTGACCCCTGCCCCTTCCCTCATCCCCACAGTGCCCGTGTCCCAAGGGCCGTCCTGGGCCTGTGTGACCCCTTCCCTTGTCCCCACAGTGCCCGTGTCCCAAGGGCCATCCTGGGCCTGTGTGACCCCTTCCCTTGTCCCCACAGTGCCCGTGTTCCAAGGGCCACCCTGGGGCTGTGTGACCCCTTCCCTCATCCCCACAGCTCCCGTGTTCCAAGGGCCGTCCTGGGGCTGTGTGACCCCTTCCCTCATCCCCACAGTGCCCGTGTTCCAAGGGCCACCCTGGGGCTGTGTGAC